AAGGAAGAGAAACTGGAAGCAATAAAAACCACTGTATGTGTCTAGAACATACTTGCAAATTACAAGGAAATTAAATATGGTTTTATTTTACAATAGCTAGCAACCAAGTCCTGAGATTTCAAGCACACTAGGCAGACATTCTGCCAGGCCCCCATGCTGCATGCTTGGATCCATGCTCAGTGGAAAATGAACGCTCCGTTTTCTCCCTAAGCCTTCATTTGTCTTTATTTCATCTCCCCAAAATCTGCCAAGCCCACTAAAATTATCATAACTCTTCCTCAGAGCACAAAGTAGGCAGATTTTCTGAATTTGGCTAGCATTTCAGAGCTTCTGTGCCATCTTTTAGAAATGAGCAATAATTTGTTAACAACAGATTAAATAACACTTTGGGAGCACAGAAGGGAAAGAACGACTGAGTCATGTTCCTCCTGAAAGTCATGCGTGCTTCTAGAGCGTTCCATCAAGGTCAAAAATTGCATTGATTTTCATAAGTGGTAAGGAATTTGATTCATCACTCTTTAAGCTGATGTGGTGCTAAGGTGAGGGTCAGGTCATACAGGAATCATCCCAGAGATCATACTTGGGTACAGAGGGAAAGAATACAACATAAAATGAGAATATTCATCTTGCAGGTCCACTTCAGTGACTGGATCTTTCCTTGTGTGACACCTGTCACCACAGACCATTCTCTGGTGACACTGGCTGAGCACGTGCTGTGTAACATGACAAAACACCTTGTGCTATGCCAATGTACCCCTTCCATGAGATGCTTCTTGGGGGTGCAAAGGATGGCTCAGGTTAACACTGATTTTCTTGTTCCATGCACCCTTGTCAGTGAGAAGAAACATGCATTTGTCCTGTGCTGTCTACCCCAGATAGATCAGATTTTAGCAGCACTCACAATGGATCAGATCTCAACAGCACCAAGGTAAAAATCAATTTTGTACCAACATAACTTTGCAGGTAGAAAGGGGCTGTAAATGTTTCAAGCGAAGAAGGTAATAAAGAATGGGGAGCTGAAATGTGGCAGAGAAATATTATTCTTTTCCCCTTCACTGTGAAATATATATGGCAGGAATTCTTTTCAGAAGAGATGGCCCTTTGCCTGTTATCTAAAAAGTGAGCACCAGCATGCTAGCTAGCAGCAACCCTGGCTCCCAGCAGAGGAGCCTTGATTTTCCTTTACCATCTCTGAACTCCAGACTCGCCACGTGCTGACCCTTTCCTGCTTCTTGGTCAGTAGTGCCATGCTATTATTTGCAAAACAGGCACAGACTGCAGTGTTTTCAGCTCTGCAGAAGTGCTCAGGAGTACAAGTATCTGCAGGTCTGTGCACACATCACACACACATCTGGAACAACCAGCATCACACAGCTCAGACAGAGTCCCCATTTTGGTGCTGGCTCTGCAACAAACTGCTGCCCATGTGGCACTAACACACATAAACTTCACATTTTGGTGATGATTCTGCCATAAGCTGCTGCCCATGTGGCACTAACACACATACAACTTCACGTTTTGGTGATGATTCTGCCATAAGCTGCTGCCCATGTGGCACTAACACACATACAACTTCACGTTTTGGTGCTGGTTCTGCCACAGACTGCTGCCCATGTGGCACTAACATACATACAACTTCACATTTTGGTCTGCCACAAACTGCTGCCCATGTGGCACTAACAACAAACATGCAACTTCAAAATTTCATGCTGGTTCTGCCACAAGCTGCTGTCCACCTGGCACTAACATACATGCAATTTCATATTTTGGTGCTGGTTCTGCCCACGTGGCACTGACACACATGTCACTGCTGCCCACGTGGCACTGACACACGTGCAACTCCCCATGCTCAGTGCAGGTGTCCGTCTGCCCTGTCCTGAGAGCTGCAAGTGTGCGCACCCTGATGCAGCTGCAACGTTGCAGTCCTGCAGGCCTGGGTTGGCCAGCTCAGCTGCAGGAGTGCCAGCATTCATCCATGCCTGTGTGACAAAGGGACACTGCTTCAACACTTGTGCCTGAGCACCCACAGCTGTATCAAACCTCAAACCACATGTCCTGTATGCAAGACAAGCAGCCAAATCTCAGCAAATCAGAAAAAGCCCAACTTTTCTGGTTTTGAGTAAAATATATTGCTTTTACATAACCCAGAGAATCTCCACTTATCTCCTTCATTCATCACAAGCTTCATTTACTTGTTTGCTTTCAGAAACAGTCCTCCCTCAATACATCTGTTATTTCAAAAATGCAATGCATATAGTGAGTGGTTATCTTATATGTACATCTTGACACAAGAAGCTTCTAAGTACTTGAAAAGTACTTGCTGAGAATAAATAGTGAAAGTCTCTCAGGTTTAAATTATTTCTTTTACAAATTTGTGGATGCCAATTCTTCGATAAAAGTTAGAATCTTTTTAATTCTTTTTTCCACTGTACTGCTAATGTGACTATGCAAAGTTAAAAAAGAGACAAATGCTTATCAAAAAGCAGAGCAGACTCAAACACAGTACTTCAGAGATCTAACAAAATGGAAATGATGCCAAACTCCAGCAGGATAAAACTGTGAGTGAGAGCAAGTAGAAATAAAAAATCATATGTAAGGTAAAATAATACTAGACATCACAATTGACATGCACAACTACTTCAAGTACACTGGAAGAGATGAGAAATCTGGAAAGCTCCAAGTTAATGATTTGGAGCACTCTAAACTAAGCTGCCACTTACCAGCACATATCACAGGTCTGAAATAATTTAACCTTCCACCTCAAAGGAAAAGAGTAATCTTACATGTCCAGAGTTTAAAGGCTTAGCAAAAACAAACACAAATTCAGAGCTACAGCTGAGCATGAGCTCTTCCTTGCTTCCACAGGTGTTTTGGATGTTTAGTATTTGTTGCTCAGGTGTTTTGAGTATTTAATCCTCACACACAGAAATTCAAAACAGTAAAAGAAAATCCATACTATTCAAGCTCCTGCTAAACTGTACCTTCAGACATGTGCCTTTGCTCTCATTTGTTTAAATCCCAGCTTCACCATGCATTTGAGATTATTGTACAGCCAGCTATGAAATGATTCTATTTAGCAGATTAAACATGTAGATGAGAGGAATGAGGTTAGAGAGGCATAAAAAGGAATTCTGCAGAAAGCAGAGGAAGGAGGAGTGGAAGGAAGCTCTTCACAGGGCTGAAAGGAGTCACTCTTGGCTGATCAATTTGTCACTCTGCAGCTCCCTTGCTCAAGGGCCTCTCTCCTGGGTTACCTGCAGAGAACTACACTCCTTCTAGCAAATACCTCATTTCATAGAATGCAGAAAGCAACACTCCCCTCTATCCCACGGTCTCCAGCAGCAAAAGCAGCTGTTTGTTCTGTTTCACCCATGTTTGTTCTGTTTCCTCATGTTTCACCCACACAGTGGGTGAAAGGCAGGGATTTAATTTGCCCTTCCAAAAATTCAAGCAACATAGACCCAGGTATGTTGCAATTCCTGATTTATTTTTTTTTTAAAAGCTCTTTTTTCCACCATCACTACCACTAATGTACTGCCAATATCTCCAAAACCGCTTGGGTCAAGATGTTCAAATCTTTTCCACAGAAGAAAGAAGGGATAGTCTGTATCTAGGTAAATAGAAATACTAAGCACTGTAATTATTTAAAACAGCAAAAAAGAACCCAGCTAACACTGGGTTATGCCTCACAGCTGACGAACAGCCTGTCCTCTGATGCCCAAGAAGTCCCTGCAGTATGTAAAAAGCAGTTGTTCAGTTTTTTGTACACAAAAAGTTTCTCTCTATACACAAAATATCTGCTGCCTACCTGTAAGAACACATGTGGGAACTGTTTTTCCAGTGACTGAAAGTGAATATAACAGACCATGCAAATTAACGTTTGCAGAGAAAATACTAAATACCATAAGATTTAAAGCTACACTTTACTGACTATATTTATAAAATGCTATTTCAAGCCATCCTGTTCACTTGTATACACTAAAAAGCCTTTTTATGAATGCAGGATCATTTAAGCACAATCCACACACATCTTTTTTTATTCTTACATCCTCAGTTGTCAGTATTTCAATTCTTATGCTATATTTTGACATCTTGTCAAAAACGCCATCCCCTTCCATCACCAGCACTATTGCAAAAACAATCAAGGGAAATATTTTTTACAGAGTAGCTCAAAAACTTCCTACGATGGTCAAAAAATAAAATATTGCAGCCTGACATGCAAGAGTATTAAAAAACCCAACCCACAATGCAAAGGCAGGAAGGAATGTGGTACACATTGAATCATCCATTTATTTTTTAAGAACTACATCACAGCTCTGAATAACAAGCTCTAGAAAACACTGGGAAACAAGAAGGAGAGTAATACTCCACTGCATTCACTCCTGTGATGGCATAACCCATGAACAGAAGTACCTCAGCTGCAATCTTCTCAGAAATAGGTCTCTCATGTACCATAGGAAAGCCATTTCAGCAAAGCACCTGTCCCAGAGAAGTGCTTGAGGAAGGACTGCAGGTCATCATTTTTATATCCCAGCCACAGCACTCCCTCACACTTACCATTCTCACAAATGCCTGCACAATTCCCACCTCCTGCATTAACGCATCTTATGAAGACACTGTTCTCTAAGAAACATTTTACAAGGTAGGTGCTATTATCTGAATAACAGTGGTTTGAAATTTGTCCTGACAGCGTGACCGTGGTGCAGAGAGACACAACTGCAGCAATGCAATACACCCACAGACAGGGGCGCAGCACCACCTGGAACCCCCACTTCATGGGCACAGAAAAGGGGCCCTGTCACATTCACCACCATGGAACTGAACTTTGCAATGAAGTGCATTCATCTACCATTTACTTCATCTTGCATATTCCATATTCATATGTAATGCATATGTAACGAAAGTTATTTCATATTACATATTACATATTCACGTACATATTTATTTCATGTTTCTGAATAAGGTGTTCAGGGAATGGATATTTTGAATATTTTGTTTACCTTCACAATATGCTGAGTCCCCTTGGACAGAGAGATAACCGTTCTTGCATTCACAAGTGGCTTTTGTGTTCCAGTTTTTGCACTCTGAGTTTTCACCACACCTGTGTCCCTCTGCACAGAAGTTATGGCCTAAAATACAAGGAACATGCAACAGGCTTTTAAAACATATTTAGTTAGGATATTCAGCTATTTACATTGACTGTATCACTCAAAAACTTGAGCATTTTACATTCCAAATTCTCTCTATAAACGTAGTTGGTGCACACAGACTTTTTTTGGATTTCTCCATCAATTCATTCTCATAAAAACCATTTTCTTTGAAAAGATATTTGTATGACTGGTTTTATTCAGGAAAAAGACAACTCCAAAGCAGGAAGCAATGACAATTCATTACTGTTCTACTGAACCCACATAGCATTAAGTCTCTGATTGTCAAGAAGTGCAATGCTAATAAAATAACTTACATCAAAAGGACAATGAAGTGTAATATAAGAAAAAAAGCCCTCAAAATTCTCTTATTATGCACAGCCACGTGTGCTTTTAGTAGACCAAAATGAGACACTGCACAAAATTGTAGGAGTAGTCAAAGCAACCTCATACACTGCCTTGTAATTCTGTCAGCAAAAACCAGCTCAATTGTTTCTACAGTTTATAATTATTCCATGCATCATGTTCTATCAAGGGGAATTTTTATTCATCTCTCCTTTTTCCTTCACACAGGTTCTCAGTAATTTCTTTGTGAACAGTTTCTCTAATTCCTTATTTCTAGAAATAGGATGAACTTGCCCACCTCCTTCTGTAAAGGTACAAGTGGCTGAAATTCTCTCTTTCTGATTTTCAGTATTTCTCAGAGACATGTCAACATCTTTCTCTGCTTAAGTCTAAAGTGAAAGTAATGGTAACTTCATCTCTAAAGGCACTCCACTGGAAGTTAAGAAATAACTTACAGAATTTGACAACAGGAATTTTTTTTCCTCCCTTCACTGATGTATATTCTATGGATTTTCCCTATTAATATCCAAGAGTCCATTTCTATTTGTCTGAGATCTATAAGCAGTCATTTTGGTAAATCCTATTTTGTATCCATTTTCTGTCCTGGAAGGAGGAAAAGCAGAAACCCACACATATCTATTCCAGCTTGTGCTGATCTGAACACCAGAACAGTTTCTGCCAGTTACACCTGGTCATAAAGGAGCAAACTAAAAGTTCTCTTTCATTGATCATAAAATTCCTAAAACCCCCTAAAAACAGCTAAGAAAAACACAACCCAGACTTTAACATCTAAATGCCAGATTCAGGTCTCTATTTAAGTCCCTTGCTTTGATATCATATTTAATGTATTTTTAGTTGTCTATCCCTTGCTTTGATATCATATTTTAATGCATTTTTAGTTGTGTATCCCTTGCTTTCTATTATATTTTAATGCATTACTAGTTGACTATCCTTTGCTTTGATATCATATTTTAATGTGTTTTTAGTTTTCTATCCCTTCCTTTGATATTATATTTTACTGTATTTTTACACACACACTTCAGTTGTGTACTAATTTAACACTCAGGTGGTGCCAGCTTAGTGCACTCCAGATTTATGTGTCTGATCATCTAATGCTGAGTTCTGAGGTAATTTTTTAAAAATGTTAACACTTGTTAGCAATGTCAACATTCAATTCTACACTTAAAGTTCAAATTCATTTTACTACCAGCCAAGGTACCCTTCCTTGAGCTCAGCTGGCTCCTTCTTTCATTGTAATCCAGAATGAGAAAAAGAACCAATTCCCTTAATGAAACCTTCAGTTATCCCTTCTAGTCTTCACTCATTTCACAGTCTGGTAAAAACAACTCAAGTATTCCAGATCCAGCCTTGTGGAGCCCAGGTACATTTTAGACTGGTAAAATAGGGTGCCAATACACTGCCTTTAGCCATTTATGCAATCACAGTACTTGACTTCCCATTTCTGCCTTTAAAACTATAATTGAAACTGAACACTGGAACCCATTTCCTCAAACTCACCCCTTCAGCATCTGATTTATGGTCCCCACGCAGGATTACTATTCTACTGGCATTCCAGATAATATCCAAGAGACAGTAACTTTTATAATATTTTCTTTGTTTCCCCTAAGACTATGACATCCTGGTCTGCTTCCTGCTTCTTTAGAATAATAATTCTCCTTTGAGGTCACATGCAGGATAAGCTTGATTTGACTCTTATTGGGTCAGAACCTCTGTAACATAGCAGTGTATTGAGCTGGGCAGTATGAAAATATCACATGGTTGTTACTCTGTCTTAGGCTATTTGGTTTATATTTAGTTCTATTTCCCTCTCACCCAAACCTGTAAAAAAAAAATTTCATCTCTATCAGTATGTTTTAGTCACAAGTGTGCTGGTATGTAGCATCATGCAACTTTCTGCAACAAAATTCTGTTTCCAGGCTCTTTTTACACCAGTGAATCAACATTTTACCTCATGATCAGCCCATGGCAAATTTAAGACAATTAGCCAAGTTGGTGGCTTCTCAGAGTTAACTCCAATCGCAAGTCCCAGATCAACCACTCCAACAGCACTTTTTCCCAAGCACAAGCCAGTGATTAATTTTCACATCACAGCCCTGTGAATCCTTCATTGTTTCTTTACCATCTCTGAAAACTATCTGTAGATATGATGGCTACCCCACCTATCCATTTTTTGCCACTAGAGCTGTCACCTGTTTTTAAAAAAATCTCTGGAAAAATCTGTATTTGTCTTCTTTCCTTTATCAATTCAAATATGAGTCGTCTCCACCCAGAATCAGCTTTTCAAGCTTGAAGGCTATTAAAGGAACATTACATAAAAAAATCTAAAGAATTATTTTAACACCTATTTTATATTTAAATAATAGTATTAATAATTAATTTCAATATTTAATTTTAAAAATTAAGTTTTAGAAGTAATTCCAGTTCTGTAACTTGAGAAAAATCAAGGCTCTAAAAGACATTCCATTTTTCTCCTGTCATTAGGAATACACAATCATAGAACATCCACTGTCTTGGCGTTTATTATCACCAAAGACCTGTGAAACACTGATTCCTCCCTGTTAAAAATGCTGTCTAGAAGTGACTCCACTTTCCAACAGCATTTCAGCAAACGTGTTCAATACCTCTGTGAGTGGATAGTGGAAGCCATTCCTGCTAAGAGCACACATGGTGCTACAACATTTCATGTCACCAAGCTTTTACAAAACAACTGTAATTTGATCTTAACCAGCAGGAAAAAATATACTTGAGAGAACAGAAGAGCAAGGATTCACTGTGCCTCTGTCTGAAAAAGCACACCATTGCTTGCATCAGAGGTCTGCCCAGAGATGCTTTTTTTTCCCAGCAGAAATGCAAAATTAGCACTACAAAAGAGCCAAAAGATGATTATCAAGGATGTGTGGTTCTTGGATTTCTTAGACATTGGTCCAAATTCTCCCCAGCATGAGTTTTAGAGCCAAATATCTGATTGTTATCAATTCTTTGGTGTGAAATGGCTGATAGGATTCCTTAAAAATACCTCCAGAGGTGCCAAAAGCACCCACTGATGCTGCAGTGGGATCCCTAAATCCCACATGGGTGGGAGATTTCAGAGGGCAGGAATCTCCACTGCCCAGCCAAAACAACACTTCATTCAGCATATTCAGCAAAGGCTTATCTGAGATAGTCAGCTCCTCTCTAAATATAAGAATGGCTTAAAATAGAATCATCAAAGCAAGCAGGCAATTGGAGAGGATTTAACAAAACCACAGAAAATCTTAAACAGTTCTGATAATCTTAAGGAATTTCAGGCCAGCACAGATGACAAGGCAAGCATGAATTAAAATTACAGATGAATGCATTAAGAACGGACGCCAGAAACCATCTTCCCTGCACATACACACACAATTCCTGCACAACAGCCCTTCAAAGTCATCCAAAACACAATTAGGTACTACCAGGGGAATGAAATATTCAAGAGTGTGTTTAGATTTTTATAGGCCTGATGACCTCTGTTCGTTCTCCAGACATTTCTGATAACATTGCTCTCTTCCTTCATCAAAGCTGCTGAAATGTTTGCTCTATCTTTTTCTTAAAAAATACAAGTTTCCACTCCTTGATTCTGAAGATAGAATGACCATTAATAAATGTACTAAGACAATTAGGAAAAGAACCAGACACACGCTAGCAGCCATAAAACCATCATGGTTTCTTCTGCAGCATCAAGAACTGCACAAATGGGTAGGCCTTAGTTGTCCCAAGTCAGATATCTCAAATAAAAAATTCATTCCATTTTGGGATGTTGGGACCCTTGCACATTGCTCTGGCTGACCTGGAGGATTGAGACCCTGGCAGGGGCTCAGAGACCTTGGCACAGAGTCACAAACACCTGTGCCTTTGGTTTTAGCCCATGGAAACAATTACCAACCTTGTGTGAGGAGTTCTATCTAACTATCATTCTACTCAAGCCACAAGGGTTTGAGTAGAATGATAGTGAATTTGTCACAGGGTGAAAAAGTAGAATTTTGGGGTTTTAGAATGGGGGTTCAAGAGGCAAGATGGAGGAATCTGGGCATGTCCTGTCCTTCTTCTCTTTCTTCTTCTCCTCTATCTCCTGCTGTGATGGTGACACTTCTGGATTGGTTTCTTTTGCAGAGCAGCACACTAAGCTGTTTTGTGCTGCCATCCAGGTTTTTACATACTTGGTGATTTGGCTTAATTATTGATTGTAAAATGCAAGAGCTGATTCAAGACTTCAGCTGCAATCAATACATTTTAGATCCGTATCTCTTCCTACTTTTTTTATGGTCAACACTGATGTGCCTCTCCTTGTTTCTGAGGGTTTCCTTCTAACATCCGGACAATTTTCTGTATTTCTTACAGTAGCCTTAGCTGTTCACATCAAAAACTGTAAAACCCCTGTTCTCTTGCTCTTCAAGATATCCTCTATTTCACTGTTTTATACTGAGAAATCTCTAAATATGGAAACAAAAATTGTTATACTGCTTCTGTTAAAGCACCAGCAAATGTTCAAAAATCCAAGGTAGTTCCAATCTCACAATCTTTTCTACTGTTGAGATTTAACCCCACAGTTACAACATAATTATGTAAGGTAACTCTGAGGGAGAAGTCATGGACGAGTGTTAGAATTTGCATTACCAATTATGTCTTTCCATGATCTGAATCAGTTTTTAATGAGTCATGTGCGAAGCAGCACTTTGAACAGCAGCTTTCACACCTTCAGAGACTGTGGACAGAACTCAGTTGTCTGACATAAAACAGCAACTTCATACATTCTTTCAAGCTGCTCTGTGAATGCAGAGCTTATTACACAGTGCTTATCAGTGTGCAAAAGAATAATGGTAACTACACAGCCTAACAAGCTTAAAAAGATTTCTTCTTTTTCAGACTGCAAGCTCTTCTAAATCCTAAGTAACGCTACAACTAGGTTTAGAAATAAACTAATTCATATTTATCAACTGCCATTAAATCTTAATAAATCTAAAACCTTGAAATAACTCCTACCTCACAGCAATAAATGGGAAAAATTCAATTTCTGGAGAGTCAAACCTCAGTTTCACAGCCAGGCAGGAAGAGATGAGAAACATGCACAACTGAAGAGCCTTCTCACCCTCTAAGTGAAAAACTAACAACCTTCCCAAAGCAGCACAAAGAGGGGTGGCAGAAGCCCCAGTTTTAGAATTAAATGCTGCTCCCTGCTGTAAAATGTATATTTCACCTCATCAATAAGATTCTCCCTTTCCTCCTAACGAGTATCAGCAAGCAATCTAAATCCATCAGTCCCACCATACTGCAGGACAGCAAATAATTCTTTTCTCTAGAAACAAAACCACTGTCACTACTTCATTATTTCATCACACTCTTTCTTTTAAGAAGAGCACATCTGAAGTTGCTAAGGCTGTTAAGGCTATTTTTACATATTTAAAATTGTGAGCACAACAACATAAAAATTCTCTCATGAAGTTTTATTTGAATCACTCATGCAAAAGAAAAAAAAAATCCACTCTTTCAAAATTATACACTGTCTTTGGCAAGGAGAAAAACAGCTAAAGGGAACAATAAAACACTTTCATGACACTATTTTTTATATTAGTTCTGTCCCTGGGCTATAAAAAATGTAGCAGGCATGCTGTAAGAAAAATGAGCGATTCTCAAAAGTAGCAAAAAAATGTATTTTGTGACACGATTCTTTGTGAAACTTGAAAATTAACTAAATTTTCTGTAAGCCTAAAAGACAGTTTAATAACACCACATTGTCCTGCTGGAAAGTATAAAGTGGCCACATAGTTAAAGTAGACATTTATATTAAAGCACAGAGATGAAAGGAAAAACTGGATATACTCTACATGGCAGCCAAGGATAGATCCCATATACAGATGTGGGGAGGTCCATTTATGAATTCAGTACATGAAATCACACAAATAAACTGTCATTTTAAAGCAGAGCTCTTCCATACTGCTCTCACCTGTATACCTCACACAACCACTTCCCTGAAATGTGGAAATTGCCTCTTAGCTATGTGCTATTACCTTCTGCTGCACTATAAACTCACAGGGCAAGCCTGAAGAGGAGCAGGCATTATTTGCTGGCGTTATTTTCCCTACCATTTACAAACAATAATGACCATCCAGGAAGGCCACCAGCTCTGCACATAACAGTATTCAACTCTTTTCGTTGCTGACTCACAATTTCCATCTCCATAAACACCTCAGATTTATGTTTTACCCTGCAGAAGCTATGGCACTCAGCTGTTACTGTGGGAAGCACTTCACAGGGTACAGTCTCATACCACAGCATCATGGAGATTCTGTGTTTCTGTGCTTTTCTTTCCTTCTGCTGATCCCCTCATATTTATCCCTTCATTACATGGAAATTCCTTTGCTGCTGCTAGAAAAGCACAAGATGCAACCCTTTCAACCTTGCCCAATTCAGAAAATATATTCTATAATTCTACAGAACATGAAATTCAGTAGAAGGCTTCTGTTTCCAAAACTACAAATACTAAAAACTCACAAATTGCTACAAAGCCCAGAACCTTGCAGTCACCAACATGCACTGACAAAATTAACACAGAAATAATATTCTTCTTTAACACTGCTAGTAAACATTTGCTAAATATTCTGTTGAATAACTTAAGGCTTAGCTAAGGACTAATGCGACAAATTACCTGCATCATCATTCATACAATGGTGGAATTTGCATGTGATGTGCAAATGGTCTGTGTGGCCTTCCAACAAATAATTTTGCTTATTCAGGACAGCAATTTTTACAATGTCTTCCTCACTGCTTTGGCTCAGACAAAAAGAAGCTGAACACAGTCTCTGAAAGAAGTCAGTTCTGCAAACAAGAGAAGCCATCTATCCTTTCCCAGTAAAGGATATGTTGGAACAGAACAGGATCACAAACTGTGGCCTGCTTGCTATAACAGAGAGCACCTGTTTGCTGGATAAAACCCATATCAAATATGGAATTTGTAATAAATATCCATTTTTAACAAAAGCACATGATAAAATTACATACTACCGCTTGGGGCTGCATGCAATTGAAGTCAAGCAGCATATATTCTACTTCAAGATATAAAAGCAACTTATGAGTGCTAAATTGAATTTATGCCTTTGTAAAGTTGACAAAATTAATCATATCTTTAAGCATCATTTTCAAAAGAATTTTAAAAAGCCATGATGAAATACAAAAAGAGGAAGTATTGTTTCAGCAGTCAGCTAAAGCAGAACTGAAGTGAAAGTTTAATGTGTCAAATTGAATGCATCATGTACCAGAATTCCTGGGAAGGGAAAATACAATTTCTTCCCTTGCTTCTAGAGATCATCACATAAATATCCATATTCATCTTATATTATAAATAATGAAGCCAGTTTGGGAATGAATATCTAAAAAGAGGACCTATCACTAACAATAATATGGAAGTGAATAATTATGGAATTTTATCTTCCATCAACTTTGAAGCTTTCATATTTCTAATCCTTTTAAGCAATGAATACATTCTTTTTCAGCACTGCACTACATCAAACTGGGCCATCTGTTAAGAAGTATCATTAAGACATCCAGCCCTCTGAGGGACAGAGAAGCAACATTTACTGCTTGCTTAAATAGTTGCAGATGTTTCTAGAAACTGCTGAACTAATTAATGTGTATATTCTCAGACCATGACCCAAGAGGGAGTCTCAAGCATGCTGGTCCCTGCAACCACATGCATGTGTTTTTAAGTTCAAGGCCTCAGTAAATATTTAACCATGTATATTTACTAATTAATATTTATTGGCAGAGGGAGAGGTTCAGAGCCCCTTCGTCGCCATCTGCAATGGCACTGCAGGAATTTATCCACAGGCAAGACAAATACTGCAGCAGAGCTCAATAACCATCTAAGGCTGCACATGTCTCCTGCTCATTTGGCACCTCCTGCTTGAATTTCTGAGGGGCATCACTGAAGGCTGCATGTGAGTCCTGGGAGTCCAGGCTCCCCTTGAGCCCATCTGAGACTCAGCACCAAGGGAGAGATGAGGAACAGAGATGAATACCCAGGGAATGATTATTCACCCAGCAATGCACTGTTTAGAACACATTTTTTAAAAAAAAGCTTGCTCAAGCCTTAACCTTGTGATACCTGCATGTTCCTCATTTAAGGGCATTTCCTCAATTAAGGTTTTAGTTATTGCCTGTTCAGTCTGCTCCAGCCTACAACCAGGACTCACATGGCTGAAAGGAAGAGGAACCTGCGTCTCAATATCCTCTGGAAGGAGGAAAAATTAGATTCTGGGCTCTAGCACTCATTTTTTCATTTTTGTTTTGCACTGGTACTATTTCATTGTCCCGCTTAATTCGTAAATTAGTCCTGAGAGTGCTCAGATCTAAATCAACCTCCTAATAGCCATCCAACTAGAATCTTAATGCTATTTTTGAGATTTTAAAATAGAGACCTTGATAAAACACTTTCAAAACCCTGCAGTTGCAGGTATAAGGAACAAAATATATTTCTTTTTCAAATACAACATCCTTTTAATAGGATGTTTTAGGAGATAATGGTTCCTTTCTCCTCCAGCTCTTCCTTTTCTCCCTCCTCCAGCCTAATTCAGTTCAATTACAGCTTTGTATCTGCTAAGTCTTCTAACCAAAGGAGTATCACAGAGTGGTTTTAGAATCATGCTTATAGAGGTACTTAATATCTTATTAAAAAGGAATTGCTTTTTTCAATGTATTTCCTGTTGAACCAACAACTTGTACTCCTCCCAGGCTGGCTTACCTCTACAAACACTGCAGCACTGGTTCTCTGGAAGAACATGATCCTTTTCTGAGCAGTTCAGTGGTGGACAGGTCTCTGTTACTTTGACTAAAACTCCATTCTGAAAATAAACAACATTTTTTTAAAAATTACATTGGTGAGAATACATGCAATGGCAACGATCACATACTTTTCCATCCACAGCACTAGTAATCTCCAGTAACAACACTGGTAAATTAGCAAGAAGCAAGTTAAGTTCAGTTGTTCCACCATAACATCAAATCTGCAGTAATCTACTGTTCATTTCTCTGCATTAAAAAAAAAAATAAATTAAAAGGCAAGGCATTTCACCTCAAAATTCTATGCTAGTTTTACCAAATATGTAGTCTCATATTTGGTACAAGTCTCATTTTACCAACATGTAGTTATCTTCTTTTCAAGTATTCGAAGGAATTTAAGAATTTCAATCCAGCTTAAATATAGTCTTCTTGCTTTCTGCAAATCTGAGCTTTATTCCTGTTATTTCCCAGTCCACACACTTCAATGATAAGTTATTCAACTCCAATTTACACAGCAAGACCAGTACTTTCAAGTGTTGTGTTGTTCTGTCGTGTCCAAGAGTCTGTTCTTTAGAATTACTGATCACCTTATTTCCAAAGTTAGATCCTTCAGAGAACAAAGCTCATCTTGAGAGAGCCCTACAGAAACTGCTGTGGAAAAATCAAGCCAAAGACATTGCTATGATTTTGATTTCTAGATTTAGAATAAGACTATGATAGGAGGTCTAGATGCTGGTAGAAGTTTTCTGTAATCATAGACATGGAGCCTTCATGGGGAGATTTTTCCACCAAATTTTACTCCATCTTCTCTCATCCGCAGATCAGCCTCACTTTGTCTCCACACCAAACAGCTCTACAGCACTTAGTTCCATGTTTCTTAACATCTTGTCCCAAAATAGCCTTCTCTTTTACCATATCCCCCCTCCAGCCTCCTCCATACCATAATTGACTTGTTCAGCACCCCTTCTGCAGCTATGCCAGCACTGAAAACGAGCAAGTGGAGCAAAAATTAACGACTGGGATTTCTGCTCAGTAGGAACTACAGTAACTACTCCACAGGACTGCCCACACCTGAGTAATCTCATTTTCCAAGCTATGAAACTCCACTAAGAAAGCTGGCAGCCTGCTATGTTGCCAAAACCCCTCCTTAACATCAGCCTAGAACATTTTTCATGACATCTCAGATGTCAGAACAAAAAGGTGGAATAAGAATTTCTGCCTTCCTCAAATGAAGAAATTTCACTTTCCAGCTATCATGATTGCAGAGACAAGTTTACAAATATGATCCAAACATATCTAGGGCTGGGAAAGCAAAGGAAAACCAATACCAAAGAATACACAAAACCTCATTAAAGCCATCATTCTCATAATCTGAAGGACCAGATGTGATGTTTGTGAGGGTCCCCAGGATGAGGTGAGAATCTGACTGCATGTTCTCAAAAGGCTGATTTATTATTTTTTTGATATGATATTATACTAAATGAATGCTATACTAAAACTGAATGCTATACTAAAACTAACTAAGGAAAGAGAAAGGATATATCAGAAAGTTTAACAAGAATGATAATGAAAGTTCGTGACTGACTCAGAGAGTCCAACACAGCTGATGGTGATTGGTCATTAAGGTAAAACAATTCACATGAAACCAATCAAACATTCACCTGTTGATAAGCAATGTCCAGACCACATTCCAAAGCAATCAGATAATTATTTACATTGTTTTTCTGAGGCTTCTCAGCTTCCCAGGAGAAGAAATCCTGGCGAAGGGAATTTTCAGAAAACATCACGGTGACAACCAGATACAGGACTTTGAAGAAAGGATATTGAAGTTGCCTGTGAGTGCACCCTGCATGAAGAAACACCCAGTGCAGAAGATGCTCACAGCTACACAACACTGTGCACAGCACACTGCAGCACAGGCTCACACAGGTAAAAGTGTGAGCACTCTGCAGGTCACCAGCCCTGCCACCTCACCTCACCTCACCCAGCTCTGCCCCTGCAGGCTCCAGAAGGAGATCTCACCTACACGCTCAGGAAACACCTGCTGAGTCCACAGGGCACAGATGATGGGCCCGAGGTGCCCAGCAGCTTGCAGAACATCCAGCTGGGGAGTGCAGCTGAGCCAGGGAATGCAAATCTGTAATTCTGGAACCGCCGCCCGTCACCGCCCTGACACCGCAATCTCCAGGCTAAGCAGGGCCATTGCCTTCACTGGCAAGCTGCACCAGCTGCTGTCGTGTATAATGCTGAAAAAACCCCACAGGCATCTGCTTTTCTTATTTTTGTGAGAAAAAGCAGCCACAGAGGGCACACATCATCAGAGCGAGAGCAGTGGAGTTAATGGAGGCGTTCGGGCTCCTCCTGATCTCGGCTGAGCAGGGCAGAGGCAGGAATCCCCCACGGCCGTCTGTGCAAACGCAGGATCAGAGGTGATAAAGAACCAGACACGGAGCCATCACTCACCAGCACGTTATCAAACAAGCAGCTCTGCCTCTAACTCATTGCCTAGTTAAGCTCAGACAGGACAATTACGGCAGAAAGGGTAAAGTATGTCAGCACACCACAAAAAGTGTTGACTGACAATAAATCTGGCCAGAGAAATATGGCACAAAACGGTATGAAAGTCAAATGAGTGTCAGGATGAGTCAAAAGCTAAAGACAAATTTATTCCAAGCTCACTGCTTCTTCAGTGACTCACAAGGAGATTAAACAACACAAATTGAGAATTCCATTAATTTAATGACAGTAAGATTTTATTTCCTTAAGTCTTCTATTTTCTGCAGAATTTGCATCTTGGGAAAACAAATTAAACTTATTTGTAATTAAGTTTTAAAACAATTAAAACATTACCATGTTGAGTATTCTTTGGGTTAAAATTAATTTGTTATAAACTAGTACAGATCCAATTATAAGAATTATCATCATCAGATTTCAGATTTTATCCACTGAGATAAGTAAGAACAGTTCACACTTTAGAATTACTGCTTCAGGCAGCCTTAGAAAAATTATTCCTTTTTATATTCAATTCACATATGTAGTAGTCATAGAATGTGAATAGAAATAGATGCCAAAACCACTTTTTTTTCTGGAATAAATTTATCAAGCCTCAGTTGTGACATACAATCCACAAAGAATGAGATCTGGAGTCAAAAATTTACAACAAGATTATTAAATTTCTTGTAATTACCAAGGTAAGTACATACAAAAAAAAGATTGGATGTAAGCCTAATCAGTGACATGCAGTGAAAATCTGAACAATAAACAGCACAACTCACATGATCGGCTTCAAAAATTATTTGCAAGATTTCAGATAAGGCTATTTTGGTGGGGTTTTTTTCCTGTCTGAATTTCTCTCTGCCCTGGTTCCAGACAAGACAGGGTTGATCTCTGCAGCAGCCAGGAGGGGCATGGCCAGGACAGGAGGCTGTCCTACAGCACCTCACTCTGCCGTGGGGCGGCTGGGGCCCAGAGGGAGCAGCTGGGCTTTGTTGTTCCCTGTGAAATGATCACCTCTGCCCTGTACCCCTTGTCATTGCTATTATTGCTGTTACTGTTTATTTTCTTATGGCCTTGCTGATTCAAATAAACTGTTCTTACCTCAACCCATGATCTTTACCTTTTGTACCTCCAGTTCTCTCCATCCCAGCCAGGGAAGTGAGAGATGTGGTTTCAGGGAGAGCACCAATGCAGCAGTGTCACTCCTAAGCCCAACCAGCTGGTATTGATCACTCTCTTAGGGCACAGCTTCAAACAGCAGCCTCACCTGTCACCCTGAAGAAGTACATCGTTGCTGCAGACACCTTTTATGGAAAATCCTTTCCTTAGGATTTTTCCTCCTGAGAAGCTGGGAGGCCTCAGGAACAAAATGCAAACATTGATTATCTGCTGCTGTGGAATGCAACAGGTGCAGCTGGGATTGGTCTCATGTGGTTGTTTCTAATTAATGGCCAATCACAGTCAGCTGGCTCGGACACAGAGCTGAGCCACAAACCTTTGCTATCATTCATTCCTATTCTATTCTCAGCCAGCCTTCTGAGGAAATCCTTTATTCTATTCTTTTACATTAGTTTTAATGTAATATATATCATAAAATAATAAATCAGCCTTCTGAACCATGGAGTCAGATCCTCATCTCTTCCCTCATCCAAGAACCCCTGTAAACACTGTCACACATCGTTCCTTATCTTTACAAAAAACTTTTTAGTCAACCTTCCTGAGAGCTGTGGGCCCTGTCCATCTTGTATGGCACTCTGTGACTGCCTGCTCCCAGCATTAATGAAGAGGCATTTATTTTTGTACCCTTTGCTGTCAAGCATGTCATCTTGTTTATGAACAACCATCATGTCATTCACAGGCAGCTGATCAACTGCAAATTCTCACTCCAAAAAAAGTTATAAAAATCTTCCCATTGACATTCAACGGCCCACATTACCATAGGGGTGAAACCCCCCCAAAAAAAAGCCCTAAACAAACCAACAAACAAAAAATCAAACACTTATTGAACGCAGAAAGGTGCAGTTATCAAAAGCTCATACACACTTGCATTTTCTGGCCTTCTCACCACAAGAGAGGGATGACGGGAGAGATCAGCCATGGACCATGAGGATAAATAATAAACAGGAGCTTCTGACAGGAGGAAAGGCTGGAGAGGAGAAGCTCAGAGGGATCCTGCAGACAGATGTGAGTACCCAAGGGTGCCAAGAGGAGGGAGCCAGGCTCCTCTGAGCAGGGCGTGGAGCACAAAGTGAAACACAGCAGGGCCCAGGTGGCATCAGGAAACACTCCTGCAGCATGGGGCTGCGGTGCAGTCTCCATCCTTGGGGACACTCAACATCTGGACATGGTCCTGGGCAGCTGGCTCCAGGTAACCCTGCTCAAGCAGGTGACCTCCAGAGGTGCCTTCCAGCCTGAACTGTTCCATGGTTGTTAGAAATACCTGTGTGCTCCTTTTGTCATTGTAGATTCATCTGAAGAGTGCTTGTGGGCAGGATTCCAGCTGGGAATGGTTGTTCATTAATAACATCTGTGCTTATGGTTAAGAGGATATGCATCATAAATATTTTTAGTCTGGATTAGTTTTGAAAAAATTAAAAAAAGGTCTCTCTGCCTGATAACGAAAAACTTTGATCTAGCTGGATCCATCAGCAGTATTATTTTTTTTTTAGATGGAAAAATCAATACTAGTTAAAAGCCTCTTAAGTTTGGATCAGTACCTATGCAAAGAATAGGGAATCCATCATCAAATAAAAATTGAAATGTGAAATTTCAATTTAATCTTGTTGACATTACTCCACTTACAAATATATCCTCCTTTACAGGCACAAAGATTTTTAAGTTATCTTTATCAACACTATTACACTGACAGTAGACGTGTACCCTCCACTGTATTCCTTCATGGATCAGCAGCTTTTGAAATTTGATGTCAGTGTTTCAAGTCTGGAAAATTAAACCATATTAAATTTTGTTGATGCACACTTGTGGACACAGCTTCAGATTGTGGGGGTTTTTCTGAAGGCATGCATCAAATGATTTTTTTATGGTGTAACATTCACAGATGCCATTTTGAATATTTATCAATACTGTCAATTGAGATGCAAATACCAACTGCAATGTTACTGTAATTAACATTGCCATATCATTTTCCTTTTAACAATAAGCAAAATACAAAAGCTGTTTTCATTATTTTACTCATTTGATGGTTGGTATTTGCTTTTAATCTTCCTGAACCTATTATCATATTCTTAATGATGAATATAACACTCTTATTTATAGCACAGAGATGTTCCACAGACACAATTCAGATTCACCCTCTCTGGTTTCACTTTAACTTGAAAATACTCCTGTTCTCATTTTATACATGTATTTCCACTCTCAAATAAGCATTCTATGTCATTGTATAAATGACAGGCATCTTAGTCTGCCTTCCAAGGCAACAACCTTGCCCACCTATTTGTACAGGCAGTGCTGAACACCCCATACAGCTCCACAGGAACAATAGCAAAGTAATTCTGCATAACAAGCTGTTTTCACAACATCTGCAACCAGCTATTGTCCATTTCCATTAGTGAACAGAAAATTGCTACTCTGTACACTGAGCTCCAAGCACAACAATAACCAGATCACTGTAATCTTTTCCAATGCACACTCACCAACACCCCCCTGAACAGATCTAACGTGATCTCCATTCAACTGTGCTCTTAAATACTGACTGTCATAGCCCAAATATCATGAATTTGCCAAAAAGAATTCAGTCCACTCCAATATTCTGTAATTTAGCTCAATTACTAGAAGAGCTATATATAGTTTGAACAACAGTAGGGAAAATACAGAGTATCGCACACAATGTAACAAGAAGGTTGCTTCAGATTTTAGCAATTTGGCTGAAATAAGTAATTTGCCCAAGAGGCTGTTACTTTTTTCTATAGCTCATGAAAGCAGAGATAAGAGAAAACATTCTTCCAAATCATTTTGCCCATATTTCTCTTATCCTGCAAGGGTCATATTCTTGATTTGTTTTCGTATTTGTGGCTTTCAGTGACTTCAAGGTCACCTTTTTTGAGACAACAGATGTCACATTTGCATGAAGGAAGCCTAAAGAAATGCACTAACTTTTCACTGTCACTTCTGAACACCACAGATACATTTAAAAACAGGAAAGGTTTATACAGCTGAAACTTACTCGACATTCCCTGCAGCTCTTGGTTAACACTCGCTGACCTTCTGCTAGCACCTTGCCTCCATAGATACACTTTGCTGTAATTCAAGAGGAGGAGGGAGATTAAAAATTCATTAAATCAGTGTTTAAGCAGCAAATAAATGCAAGGTATAACGAAGAAGTAAAACCAGTATACACACACACTGAAAAAAAAATCAATTCATTAAAAATACAATTCATTTTGCTTTCATCAGAAGTCAGTATCACATATAATTACAAACAAAGTAACAAACAATAAATTCATTTTAAGAGAAAGTAGCCTCTTTGCCCAAACTAGAGAGAGGGAATAGGAGCATAAACAATATGTCCTGGACTAAATAACCTATCATTCAATAGAAAATGTTTTCACTACCAGTATCATGTAGAGTAGTTACAGTATTTGTGTTACTAGAGGTCCTCATGACTCACTTCAAGAACTGGAGACATTTATTAGCATCCAGTTCATCACAAGAATAATGTAAGCACAGATTTCAATTAAGCCTTCACATTTTTAGTGGGCCCAAAGGTGAACCCTTCATCTTACTGGAGGACTGCACGACCAGATTGGATGCAGTGAATGACTACTGAATCAACAAACTGCAAAAATCTATTTCAGCAAAATATTCATCAGGCACACGTGAAATGTGTAGGACTTTCCCAGGAAACTGAGAACTCCTGCTGCAAAACTCTTGCCTGAAGTTTTGACCCTTCTGCCAAAGGTAAGTGGCTCCACAAATGATCTGACAGACTGGAACATTCCTCGCTCGCTCCACAGCAAAGTCACCTGGCTTGGGACTCCTGCCACCACGAAGAACGCAACGGGCATCAGGGCCACAGCAGCAAACAGCTTGGTCAGTTATGGCCAGAATTATCACAGTCCCCATGCAGCCACAGGTCTAAATTCCAATTGCAGAGAAGGACAGTAAATCCATCAATTAAAGAGAGCAGCTGGACTGTTACGATCTCACACAAATCAAGGATCCGCCATAAAAGCGCCCTGCATTACAAAGCAGATCGATGGTAAACGCTGATAAAATAACTTTCTGCTGTGCTATTTCAGCTCTTTCTGTACTTGGCCACTAAAAGTCTGACCTGTGACCCTGAAAGGAAAGCTAAAAGGTGTGAATCCTATGCTGCAACTGAACAGTGCTTTAAGGTTTTGAGAGTCAAGGCACTTGCACAGAGCAGCCTGTTCTCAATAGACACTCTATCTAGGACTGTTCTACCTGAATTTCCCTCCTGTTCTACCTGAATTTCCCTCCTGCCCAGGCAGGGGAAGCACTCACAGGTGCAAGTGAGTCCCCCTTACAGGTGATGCCAACAGTTCCACAGCAGCAACTGTCACAGCCAGATTGATTCCCAAATTTTAAGCAGAAGAGACTGCTAGATCAATCTTCATGAACCTTCAGACATAAATTTGCTTCTAATGACTCTTTGTGAAAATGCTCATTGCTTAAAAAAAAAAAAGAGAATTATTTACAATTTTCAGGCTAACTCAGTTTTCATCATCACTAAAGCATTTTAAAAGAGGTGTCTTCCTTTTGGCATCCTAGTTTTCTCTGTTTTTCAAAAGCTGCCCTAGTTTTTATGCCTTACTAGTTGTGATCTCACTTCTGAAGAAAACTTCTGATGAGGAAGCTTTGTTTAAATCAGGAATCCCAGTAACTATTTTTAGGAGAATTTGAAATAGAGACATTTCCTTCTTTCTGTCTGTTTCCCTGACATGACTGCTTTTTACACAGGAAGGGACACACTGAAAAGCAAGTTAATGTACAATTCAGAAAAATTATATCTAAAATTACAGTCTTTTGCCAAATATTATTTGAAATGCTAACACAAGGTGGCAGGGATCAAAACTGAACTGCCTAAACCCCTTAACATATCAGACATTAGAGCTTTGCTCATTAACCCTTAGCTAAGATGGGAAAGTGTTCAATAACCCAGCCACTCAATAATCCCTAGAGACAGCAAATTACAACTGATGGTTCTATCAGAGCTAAATAGAAAAAGCACAGAGAAAATAACACCTGCAGTGCAGCTCTTTGGAAAACCTCTGCAATTACTACTATCTACCTCGAGGTGACCAGCTGTGGTCCTAGCACATCATTTTGTCAAGGAGCTGGCATTTACAATCAATTTCAATCAACTTCCACACATCCCTTCCCATTGACTGACACGCTGAGCTCTTGTCAGAATAACGAGTCAAGTTTGTGCCAATCACTGACAAAAGGCAAGTTTGATTGTTCATCTTCCCATTACAAATAACAGGAACAGTTCACTCATGAGGGTATACACTGAATCTACAATTTTGTGCTTTACAATTTCTTTGTGTCAGATTTTGACTCTTGTGCATACATCCAGTTTCATGAAAGAACCCCCTAGACTTTCAGTGTTACAAATAAAAATATTTTGAGACAAATAATACAGGCCAGCATGACCACTTTGCCACCCAAGTACTCTGTTCATGAACATCTTTTAGTATGCAGAATATTCATGCTGACATACAGCCCAGAGAAATGAGATTACATGAGAAACAAGAGCAAGTGCAAGATCACAGCTAAAGGATATTTGTGCATGGAACTAACGAATTCAATGACTGAAGAAGGGTGACAGAATGCTAAAAAAGTGTTATTATTTCCCTAATAAATCCTAAAATAATTCAACATCCCTGTCCTAATAAATTATTGAAAAGCTCATGCATGAAGTTTACTCATCTTCCAGAACAGATCAGGGGAGAGAGAATTTGTGCTTCTTAAGGTATGGCTGGCATTAGTATACAGCTAAAATTTTCATACATAAATTGCCTTTGTTCCTTGTACTACTATTAAAGTAACAAATATTGAATATTCCTTCCGTGAATGTTACTTAACAGCTTTCATTCCCACTAAAAGGAACTGAAAGCTGATAATAACACCAATCACAAAATGTACTTAGCTTTTCTTTCTTCTCATTAATTTATTTGGAAATTAATTACAGCAAACTACGGCTCCACACAGGGATATTAAGCCAGGGTCTGATATACTGTCATGTTTATTTTAAAGAACAGCCTTTTAACTTGAAATAAAAGACAGGCAAAAAGATAACAGCTTGGTTAGTTACTCATCACAAAAGAAAGTTCAGACTACAGGCTTGATGCTCCTCAACACATCAAGAGGAGATACCAACTGGAGCCAAGTCAGCCTTCCCAACCCCCAACAGGATGAATAATTTTACACTAACAACAGGTAAAAATAGTACCTCAGAAAGTGCCAATGCTTGTTCATTTCTCAGCAATTATTCATTTTCACCTTAAATCATGATTACCACTGTGGCTCATGTTATGTGAACTACCAGGAGCTCTGAAAACCATCCCAAAGCATCCTGGTGGCAGGACAAGGAGGCAAAGCAGCGAGGTGGCAGCAGCAGCTACCAACTGGAGCCAAGTCAGCCTTCCCAGCCCCCAACAGGATAATTTTACACTAACAATAGGTAAAAACAGTACCTCAGAAAGTGCCAATGCTTGTTCATTTCTCGGCAATTGTTCACTTTCTTCCTAAATCATGTTTGCCACTATGGCTTGTGTTACGTGAACTACCAGGAGCTCTGAAAACCATCCCAAAAGGTGCCTGGGGGCAGGACAAGAAGGCCAAGCAGCCAGGTGTGTGTGCTGTACTCACCCTTGCACACCTTGCAGCACTGAGAGTCCACGTGCACGGGCAGAGCATCGGGGGGACACTCCAGAGGGGGACAGGACATCCTCCTGCACTCCACAGCTCCTCCCTGAGCAAGGGGCAGGACAGAAATCAGCTGCATTTCATACACACCGCTGAGAACTATTCCAGCAAATGAAAACACCACTCTGGATTACAAACCTATCCTTCAGCAGCAGATTTAATCCCACCCAACTACAAAATGAATCAAAGAGCAGCTGAAGGTGAACTGCCTTCAGTGTTTTGATACATATTACTGATTTTGTCCCCAAACCCAAAACATAACACATCAATTGGAAAACATAAGTCAAGAACATAAGCCCTACTTTCTGCATGCTGTTCCAATCATCTTTGGGTTTTTTAACAACCAGGCTTCTATTTTCTTGAGCAAACAAAGGCTCTCTTCAGATATTTATCAAATAATTTCAAAGATACAAGTTTTGCATACTAATCCTCTTTCCGTCCCTTGTATTTTTCAGTCTGATAAACGCTGAAAACGAATCTGCAAGTTGTTACCATGCAAGATGCAACTAAGCATCTATGAATACTATTAAGATAATGCCTCCTTTTTGAAAAAGCTACTGCAGTGAAAACAATTCCAAAGAAACACAGACAATGCCACTCCTTCACCCCAAAACCACAAAGTCCTCACAGCTATAATTAAAACAAGGAAGAAAGCATTGTCAAGGGAAGGCAGATTTTATGTATGAAGCTTACAAATAAGTAATGTCAAAATTTTATTTATTTTACCACCTCCCTCTCTATTGTCCATGCTGCCACTAGGCGCATACTAAACACACAGGAACTCTCAGAGTGAACATTATGTATTCAAAGGCCATTTTCACATTTTCATTAGATCCTATCCTTCAAACTCTCCAGAAATTCTTACTTTGCATGTGCAATTCCTGCAGTGATCATCTTCAACCCATGAGTCTTTGTCTCTGTAGATCAATCCATTTACTTGACAAGTCTTCTCACAATGACAGTCTTCCAATTGACTCAGCCTTGTTTCTGCATAATTTAACTATAAATGAAAGTAACTTGATGAGATTTCTGCAATCCAAACACATGATTTAAAAAAGCAAAAACCAGTACATTTATTTTTAGCAAAACCAACTTTGACCACAACCTTTGAAACACTGAACCAGGAAATGAGCAGGTAAAAACTAACCCTATTCCCCAGATTTTGATGGAGTTAGTACATGGTCATCCCACGCTATGATCAATGGAGAAACCATGCTCCTGGAGCAAACCCTGGACTTGTGGCTAGCTCTGAACGCTCCTTGTTGTTACAATAGAAATACAAGCTTAATATTGAGCAGTAAATATGTGCATTCCTTCCTGCCTGTACAAATAACTGAAAGATGACAGGCCTCTGTTCAAAATTTTTTTTTCCGGCAAAATAAATACAAGAAATTTTTAAAAAATCAAAACCTACAGGGAAAATTTTGTGATTCATAGAAGTATTCCTGGCTGTATAAACCCATGATAAACCAGATTGCCTAGTCCATAAATGAAGCCAAGTGCTTGATTTTTCTTGATTTTAATTAAAGCCAAGTTTGAACCCTTTTGACTTTCAGCAAGGAAAGACAGTAGAAATTTCTGTGCTGGAAGTCTCCATGTAACAAACACATCTGAATACAAAGCACACCCTAGTGGAGGCTCATAATTTACCAAAAGAAGTTATATTCCACTCCAAGAAGTGCAGGAGATGCCCAGACTGATTCCAGCAGATTGTTAAAGCCACATGAATTATTTTAGCCATTATATTTAGAGGAACTAACAGTACTGTGGCCCAGTGGGGAATGCTGCAATGTAACACAACCCTTTTCTCCTGCAGCAAATTAACATTTTAGCCAGACTGTAACACCCTGACATACAGTGTGCCTCTATTTAAGGACACCAAATTAAATCAACTCAACATATCTCCTGGAGACATTCCGAATTCATTCAAATTATGACAAAAATAAAATCAGCTTTAAAAGCTAGGATTTATTAGTCTTTAACAGCAATGTCTTCACAAAGCACAGGTAGTAAGAGGAGGTAAGGGTGGTTAGCTTGCTACAAGTCATGATCAAATGCTCCTTCCATAGCCCTCTGTGACAATCTGCTGGAACATTCACAGGGGCCCTGTGTCCCTCCCTGAGCCCACCAGACTCAGGAGAGGAACAGCCCAAACAGGAGGATGTGGTGCTGGTGAGGGTCCCCAGGATGGGGTGAGAGATGAGAATCTGACTCCAAGTTCTCAGAAGGCTGAGGTATTATATTATTAGATTAGATTACATTATATTATATATTTTCTATTATGCATTATGTATTATATATTATATGTTATATTGTATATTGTGTATTATATATTATATTAATTATACTCTGCAATATTATACTCTGCAATATTATACTATGTAATATTATGCTATGTAATATTATACTATGTAATAGTATACTATACATACTATACATATTATATTATATTATATTATATTATATTATATTATATTATATTATATTATATTATATTATATTAGTTATGCTATGCTAAAACTATTCTAAAGGAAGAGAAAGGCTATATCAGAAAGCTTAACAAGAATGAATAATAAAAACTCGTGACTCCTCAGAGCCTCACCACAGCTGGACCATGATTGGTCATTAATTAAAAGCAATTCACATGGAACCAGTCAAACATTCACCTGTTGGTAAACAATGCCCAAGCCACATTCCAAAGCAGCAAACACAGGAGCAGCAATCAGATAATTATTGTTTTCATTCCTCTCTGAGGCCTCTCAGCTACCCAGGAGAAAATCCTGGGCAAAGAGGATTTTTCAGAAAATATCACAGTGACAGCAGGGAGCCTCCCTTTCTTGCTCTCATTCTGCACAACTTGCACAGCTACTAGAATTACTGGAGCCTGAAACCAGTAGCTGGATGTTTCCTTCCCAGCTCTGAGTCTCTATAATTTTAATTTCTATAAACTGCACATACACACTGATGGCAAACAACACTTGCTCTGCTGTTCAATGCTGTGATACAGCTGGAACCAAACACAGACTGAGAGAGAAGCTGAAATCTGGGTACAGTGGAGCCTACAGGCAGCAATGAGACACCAAGACACTTTTCCAAAGCACGGTGTCCATGCTGTGCATCTCCTGGAGCAGGATCAGGGGCTAGGGATGCTGTCCATGAGCAAGCCTGTTGTAGTGTGCTTTCTTTATTTGGCATTCTCTGAGCACCTGCCAGGCCACACAGCACCTCTGCAGGCAGCCCTCCAAAGCCCCGACATGCAGCATCCCCACAAAATACACCTGTGTCTGCATTAGTCACTCCTGCCTGTTGTGGTTAGGTTTTCAAAGGCAGATAGAAACCTCCAGACCCCCTATTTCTAACTTGCATTTTTCTACCAAGGTAATTTCCTTTCCTGTAGCCTGCATTTTGCCTGGACAACAGGAAATGACTGCAACAAAACAATCAGGGGACTGCTGTTACAGAAAAGGAATTTGCAATGAAGGATTATGCCAGCACCACTTTATGAAAGTGCAGAGTCTTTGCAGTACAAATACTGTGTTATTTGCTTCCACTCATAAAGTACTAGCAAGCAAAAATATAATTAACATCAGAGAAAGCAAGTTACTCAGTACACTGCATAATTGGAACTTGCTCATACCACCAGCAGGGCTCAAAATAATTGCCTCTCTTTCATAGTACAAGCAGAAAACTGAACTAAAAGCTTCACATTTTTCATTTGGATCCAGCCTGTCCAAAGCATGTCAGCTGAGTAAGAGGACTGCCAGCATAATGCACTCACTCTCCAAAAAACCAGTTTCCCCTTTCCTGTGGGGAAGGGAAAGAGCATTTGAAGTATCATGAAGCGTTAAAAAGAATCATTTTTTTACACAAGCAGCACTGCTATGCAAATCCTGGTTTGGAAATTCCTACAGTGACTACATTGGGAGTAAGGGCATCTACAGGTTGGTTGCACCTGCACTTAAATCTAAGTAAGCAACATGTAAGTGCTGTTTCAAAAGAGACAATTAACATCCCTCTAGCACACACCAGATGGTTCATTCTCCTTCTAACACAGATCGGGGGTTTGGTCACCTCTAAAACACAGTTTCCTACCCCAAAACTTCAGCACAGCCTTGCTGAATGGCCCTGGTTTAACGCTGAGGTTGTCTGTGTATTGTAGGAGCAGAACCTAAAGAAAACTTCCAACATTTCAAACAAACAAAAAAAAAATACCCAACATTATAGATTTCCATACACCCTAGTCATGATCCAAAGCTGGGGGAGGGAAAGAAGAAAGAAAAAACCACAAACCCAAGCACACACCACATCACCTAGAGCTGATGAAAACTGATCAAACACTGATAAAAGCCATTGATCAAAGGGGCTGTCAAGGGCAGCACAGGCAGCAGGTTCACAGGCATTTCCATTTTGGGGCCTCATTTCAATTCCCAGCAAGGAGACTCCACCAGTCCTGAAGACTTCACAGGACTTCCCACAAGAGAACATTCCCCCTCTGACAGCATCACATGGGGAGGAAACCGTCAGGGGTTTCACTCTCTTGTTTCTGCATTTATCCCTCCACATGAAAAGGGCAATCAAGCTAAGGCTGCTTACCAAAAATCAGCCTCTGGGTATTTTGTCACTACCTTACAAATAAGTAGTATTGTGGTATTGTCTGCTACAATAAAGCAGACAACAGAAACATTATTGAGCTTAAGAAACAACCACAGAGCTATGTCCACAAGACTACTGCAGACAGCAAGAAAAAAATTGGCTCCACTATGAAAATTTAGATTCATTTTCATGGTATAAGAAATGGCATCTAGAATAAATACTTTCATCTTTGTCTTAAGAAGGAAAGGGGCAACTAAGAAAAAGCTTAGGTACCTACTTTTGCAGTCATTTTTGCCAGGAGTTCTTGCAAATCCATGATTCCTTGCACCAGACTTAAGAAATCACTGCAGGTTGGGCATGCTCAATAGAGAAAGATTAAAAAGAAACAGAAAAGAAGGAAAGACACAATAACCCATAAATAAACAACAATCTATCACACTAGATTTATCTGAACATAAAATGCAATCTGTTTATACAGAATTCTTGCCTTCTGGAAGTCAGCACATGCAAAAATAACAAGCCTGAAAGTATTATTTTTAAAGCAGAGAAACAATCTGTATGAAAATCTATTCTAGAGACAATAAAAAGATTGCTACTTACTGCGATTCAGATTAGGACACTGTGTTATATATCCATTAGGGATAAAGATGATTTTCACATCTTGAATAACACCCTTTGCAAAAGAAGAGAAAACTGGTAATACAGATTACAAACATTCACTTCAATCTGTACAACCTCATTCACAAGTCATTTCTTCAGTGGATACACAAAAAAATTACCAGCTTACTCTACTTGTGAGGAAAATAACTGAAGGTGAACAAAATAGAACTCCTCCTATGTCTCTGTGTGTTTGGAATATTACAGTGATGATACTGCTTTCTCTTTTGTAATCACCAAATATAAGCTGCTTAAACCCTTTAAGTGGGGTGAGCCTGCTGAAAAAAGCAGTGCAATAATACAGTGCAATAATATCCATTGCTCAAGCCGATGACACACTTTTCCAAAAGACAAAATAAAACACAGCAAAACTCTTTTGTTTTTTTTTTTAACCAAGTAAGACTGTGAAATCAAACACTGAAAAGACAAGTAGCTGGTGCCAGATGTAAGTTCACACTTGGTTATATGAAGCTCCCTAGCTCTGTATCTCAGCAGTGGGGTAACTGTGGCACCAGGCACAATCAGCCCAGGCAGGCAGAGATGCCCTGGGCAGGACTGGCAGGAGGGCACTGCAGCTTCTCTGGGGCTCCTGAACCCCAGCAGGACAGGGGCAGCTTCTCTGGGGCTCCTGAACCAAAGAAGGACAGGGGCAGCTTCTCTGGGGCTCCTGAACCACAGCAGGACAGGGGCAGCTTCTCTGGGGTTCCTGAACCACAGCGGGACAGGGGCAGCTTCTCTGGGGTTCCTGAACCACAGCAGGACCTAAAGGTCCTTCCCAGGAGAAGCTGCAGATGCCCAGTGCCCCTGCACACCTGGGCCCTGAAGCAGCCCAGACGCTCCAGACAGTGCAGAAAATGCTGAAGCTTGGGTTTGTTCTCTTTAGCTCAGGATGAAGCATTTGCTGCATCTGTGGCTGTGCAATGTTCTTACTTCACAGGATCCACTGCTTTAATAATGTCATGGCCACTAAGGGACAGGAGCAAAGGAAATCAAGGGACCTCTAGTGCTGACATTTGCACTTCCCTAGACAACAATCACATGTTGTGACACAGCTCTACCTCCTCACAGACAGAAAAATTTCTTTAAACTGAAAAGAACTTTATCATGACAGCAGTTATTATCTAATTAAATTACTGATTTGCCAAACTGTGCTTTAATTTTCAGTTAAATTGCAATAGGGTGAATTTTGCAGGGCAAGGACATCATCACTTGCTCACATGGCACCCATATGCCACATGCATTCACATGCCACCCATAAATAGAGGCCTCAGAGAGTCCTTAAAGCCTGGCAAGGCAAGTCACATTTCCATGTTCATGTGTTCAAAGAGCAGAATGTAATCAGCAAGCACCGTTTCCTGCTTACTGTCTCATGATCAAATATTAACTGAAAATATTAGCAGAGATAATCAGATCACCCTGTCGTTCTTGCAGCAGTATACACATTTATTAACCTTTTCACTTATGAGAATAATGAAACCATAAGTAATAAGCAATACTGTAACTGGAAATGGAACATCCTGAAAGCCATTTTGCACACTTTCTGTCAGCAGTCATCTGTGAGAAATTAAAAGGTGAGGCATAAAAATACACTTCAACACTTAAGCCTCTGCAGTGAAAAGCTCAACCCAGAGTAAATGAGATTACAGAGTTTCACCACATCATATTGCCTAGCTAATGAGACACCATCCAGAAAGAAGTGATTTTTTTCTTCAGCCCTTTTTTCTTTTTAGGTGCATCTTCAAATGTGTTTGTTGCATCAGAGTCACACTGCTCAATTGTCTTTCGGACAGATTAGCATTTAGACATAGCCTGAAGAGGAAACACAACTATTTTATGTGCCTTAATTTCTGGCCACGTGAAAGCATATTACCATGTAATAACATATGAATATGAACTTCACTAACATAGATGATTTCTAGGTCCGTAAAACATCTGAGAATGAATTATTATGATCAAACAAAGAAGTAAACTTTCCAAGGGCAGAAATTTTGCTGATGTATTTTTTTTTAATGGAAAGACTTAATTGTAGGCAAACACTTATTAAAGCCATAATTATTGCAACAAATATGAAAAAACTCTGATTATTCCTGCTTCAGCATTAAGTCTGGGCTGGCAAGAGCATGGATTTGTCCCTAACAGTGTGATGTCAGTGGTCAAAATCTTTCCAGTTTTTCCTTTCCCAAGCAGACACGACCTTTATGTTATCAATAAAAACATTTGGCTAACAACATCCAAAGCTTCAGCTCAGCATCAGGACTCACTAGCTTGAAGAGCCTTCATCTGGTGCAGGCAGATTACCAGCTACACGATGAAATTCAGGTTCTGCAGCACTAAAACCCAATCCCATCCCATGAGGACATAATGCAAAAAGCCCAGTGAATTGCACTTCTCACATATCCACCACATAGAACAGTCCTCTCACATTCTGTGGAAAGGCTCATATATTCCATGAACTCCCCACTAGTGCATTTTCATTTCCTCCATTGCCTTTCATCCTCTTTATAACCTACTTCTCCCACAGAGATAATATCATCCACACAGCTGTGCAGGTTGCCCTGGCCAGGGCTGGGAAGGCTCTACATGGTGGCACCAGCAGATGTGCCTGAAACTCCTGTGCCCTGGCAAAGCCATGCCAGCAACTCTGCTATAAACTTTATATATATATATATATACACACATATATATTTATTTATTTATATTTATATATATTTGTATATTTATATATTTATATATTTATATTTATATTTACATATAATTTTAATATCTATCTATAGTTTATAATATATATTATATATTTATATACATACACATAATATATATTATATATTTAAATTATATATATAATTATAATTTTATATCTAATTTTATATATAATATACATATAAAATTACATATATAGATAATTATACATATATTATTATATATACAATTATAGCCATATGACTACATAAATTATACACATGATACTGTGCAATAAAAACAGCAATATGCTTCTCAGGCACCTCATATGCAATTCCCAGGCACAAGCAGGATCAATAGAGCCTGCTCTGGTAGTTATGAAAACTACTGTCTTGCAACATAAATCACCTTCTCACCAAGGCATTAATAAGCTCATTTTTGCACTAGCTCTTTGGAGGCACCCTTAGGGGGAAGGGTTCTCCTCAGCAATAAAACAAATTTTGCAGATAATTCTGATCCTGCCAGCAATCAGATCCATCCTAGAGAATGTTCCACAGATATCTGGCATCAATCTTTTTCTCCCTTTGGTTGCCTTTTCTTAAGCTTCCTTACGTGATGATAATGGTTATCATCAGCCCTTAACCCTGAAACAAATGCTGGGTTTGTTTGGCTGTCCTGGCTCTGTCCAGCACAGGGTTAATTAATTTTTGCAGTAGCCAGGAGAGAGCATGGCTGGGACGTGGGAATTATTATATATATATTATAATTTACATATAATTTATAATATGCAATATATATATTATATATATATTATCATATATAATAGATTTTATATATATATATATATATATATATATATGTAAAATAAAATATATATATATATATAAAACTCACACCACTGCAGGAGGCAGGGGAAGGGACTCTCTTCCATGGAGGAAGAGTTCCTTATGGCCAAGAAAATGTGGAGGAGGGAGCCATCCAGTATCATCTATTATCAGGAATGTGTACATAATTCATTCTCCTATATCTTTTGTTAATAATGTTGCTGCTGTTACTGTTCATTTTCTTATCTCATGACTCCAGTAAATTTTTCTTATCTACACCCATCATCTTCACCTTTTGTGCCGCTAATTCTGAACTCCATTCCACCCCAGTGGGAAGGGGGAAGGGAAGGAGGAGTGAGAGAGTCTTGGTGGAGGGTACTGAATTGGGGAAGCCATTCATAAACCACAACAGCCTTAATTTTCTATACTCCCTTATTCTAACCACTTATGTCCCACCTGGATCCTCACCTTCCACTACACAGATATATAAATACACAATCACAGGTACCATTTCCATCTCCATGGCCCTCCCTCCCAGGTGTCTGTGGAGCTCATTCAGTCCATGGCTGTGGGTTCCACCCACCCTGGATGTCTCCCAGCACAGGAGGGCTGCTGTGCTGTGCTGTGGCTGCCTGCTGCCCCAGAGCTCAGGTTGGTGTGTGTGGAGCAGCCCATCCTCACTGCCCGTGGCAGCCATGGCACACAGGGACAGTGCCAAGCAGCAGCCAATGTTATATGTACAGATCAACAGCACAGACTGTTCTCATCCAAAAATCAAATCCACTTGTGGTACACATTGTGTTTCCCTGTCTCTCTGCACTACCCACCAAGTGAACCCAGGTCCTTGAGCAAAAAGAATTCCTTGGAGGGATTTGCCTTTGCTTGAGTTGCTCCAGTCTGGAGTCACCACCAGCATTCTTCCTGCAAGACACTTTAGCAGAGCCCTGTAGTTGTTCAGGGGTGAACTCCCAAAACTCTGGAGCAGAGAATTTCTCTAAATACCAGCCCAATTTCTCCAACATTCCATGACACTCATGATTATTCCCCCTCGAGGCAGATCTCTGAATAACACTCCTAGAAATCTCTAGCCTGACTCTAAACACAGTACTGTAGATCATACTGAGAAAACATGGCAGACATAGCAGCAAGAACATGCTTTCCTTAACATCCAAATGAAATTACAAATTCTCAAAAGCTGTTTTAACAGGCCTGAAGGAGGAAAGGCGGGTGAAAAGCTGTGGAAAACACACCTTTTGCCTCCTTGGTTATCCAGTAAAACTGGCTCAGCAATTCTTTTCTTCTATATCAAAACTTGCTTCCATCTCTATTCCTTCATCAGTCTCTCCATTTAAAAATCTTCCTGCCAAGCATCCATGTCTGTGAGACTTTCTTGCCAAGCTTTCATCCTTCCCAACACCCTCTGCAGAAGACCCTTGTGAGGGGCACATGAGGGAACAGACACAGGGATAGGCACACATCCCCATGGACAGGCCAACACTGTGGCCAGTGCTCCACACCTCATACCACAGATGCTTACAGCAAATAAACCATCCACCAGCTCTGACTCTTGTTATTTCCACCCCTCCTATCACACATTAGCCACCAGTGAGGGCTGTCCTGGTTTGGGAATGGCACTGCCCAGCTCAGTGTCCCCTCTCCCAAAGCCCAGGCTGTTCCCTCTCCATCCCCCTCCCTGCTGTGGCAGGATGGAGTTGAGAACTGGAGGCACAAAAGGTGAAGATCACAGGTACAGACAGGCACAATTTACTGGAAAGAGTGGTGAGTTAAGAAAATGAACAGTATCAAGATCAATAGCAAAAGGTACCAAAAAAAATTATTCACGCAACGAGCTTGCTTTTCCTTGCACACATTTTCATGGCTCCAGCACACATACAAAAATGCTAATTCTTTTTTAATGCTCTTATTTCCCTGCAGATCTCTGTTTACATTAAGGAAAATATATCTACGTTTTTATATGCTAAAACAGTGAAACAAATTGCTCTGAAAAAGAAAGGGAAATCCTGCTGAGCATATAAATATATGGAAAGAGATGTGTACTCTTTACAAACTGGCAAAATCCCAAGTTTTGCAACAAGAAACGTAAAAAAGTAAGATTTCTGGAACTCTCAAGCAGGATTAAAAAAACACAACCAATTATATTTCTGCCCTGAAGAAAGTTAGTAAAATATTCAAGCACACATAAAGCAAAGTAAGGTACTTGTCTGCTTTCATTATGATCAATAAAAATGGTCAGCTCATTAGCATATCATTAGCTACCCTGCTGTTTCCAAAGTGTTAACACGTAGAAATATTAATTTACAAACATATAATATCCCAGAGTTCTGAGGCTCTGACTGCCTGCATAAAATAAGAATTTAAGATGGGGACTCCAATATAACTTCTTCCTTTTCCTATGTAGCTATAAACATATGTTTACCATCTGTGGAATAGTGGGAAGCAGCTGAGGTAAAAAACCAACAGCTGTAGGATAAAATAATACTATCAATTTCACTTCACACTGACAGCTCAGCTGCTGGAGAATGAAATGCACTGTAGGTTCAGAGCAACCCTCAGACTAACATTTAAGCCAAACGTTGGCTTTTAGCTCTGTTTCACAATTAAAATTCCTAGCTCCTGTGCTGAAATAAGTTCAGTGTAATTGTCCTAGCTTGTTGGAAATCTGGGGACATCTCAGAAAACAGGCAAATTGTAAAATTGTCTTAGGAGCTGAGAGCTTCACATGGAAAGCGAGTGGGTGGTAAATCACCTTGGCAACAAATCCATGCCCAGATTGAGGAAAGGCAGATTGGCCTCTTGCTGCTCTATGGACTCCTTTCACAACAAACACTCACACTGTGCCTTGTTAGCCAAAACTGGAATAGACATCAGGAACTTTCACCTTGTAAACAAGCTGTTTACAAACCGTCCACAGTTCCTACCAAATTTCATGTATATCATGTTTCATGAACCTAAGCCAACTGATTGGAAGCACCTTGTTGACTATTATTAATTTCCTTCCTCACATGCCATTTCATACCGCTTACCTTAAAGAAACCGTGTTTCCTGTTTCTCTGTCCGAGCCATAAATTGCTTTCAGGTGTCAAATTTGTTTCTGGGGGATCAATGACACGTTCATAAATCCTGCAGAGGGAAAACATTGCATTTACTTGAATTTTCTCTCTCCTCTGAAAACTTCCTTGACAAAATCAGGTAACAATAAAAGACAAAAAACAGAACCAAAAATAAAACCCCTAAAAATTTTCATTAAACGCAATATTTATCACTAATTGTGGTGAAGAAAGTATATTACAACTTGAAAGTTAAAAAAAATTAAAATCACAAATATATGAAGACTCCATAAAATTGAAACTCTCCTTGCGCAGTTGTGCAGCACTAGACTAAAGAAATAACAGTAGGGCAAAAACAAAAAAATAGGACCATCTCAGACTAGGGATGTCTTTCAAAATCTACTCTAGAGAAAAAATGCAATCACACACGAGATCCAACCAAATCCAACAGCCCCTTGAGGCTTTCAGGCTGGTTAGAATTTTGAACAGACTTCACAAAAGAACTTAATGCCACTCCACTCCCCTCTTTTCCCCTCTATATCTGTGCCATTCCTTGCACATGGAACTTTCTCCCCTTGTTATTGGATTTCCTTAGGCTGGGTGCTCATGTGTGGTGCCTCTTCTGCACATCCACCTTGTGTCTGTCACCAGCACAGGTCTGGCACAGAATGGGACATCTTTATGGTGTCTAACAATGATAGCAAGTAATACGACCTTTATGTACTGCATAAACTTGCACATGACTGCAGCAATCTGCATACAAAATCTCTAAAATTACCTGATGAAAAAATTGCTGTAACACAATTTAAAAAATAACGAAGTATTTGGAGCTCTAAACAGGTTTTGCTTGGGGTTTTGTTTATTTTTAGAAAAACTGTAATGAAGTTTCCATAACAACTTTTCCAGGAACACAGACCGCTACAATGACATCATTGCTCCAGAACATGAAAAATTCAAGGCCAGAGTGACTGATCCTGGGTTCTCATGTAGCTATGTCACATCAGAGGGAGCCATGAACTTCCTGCTTCATAACAAAAATAGCATGCTTAATACAAATTATGGAGGAGATGATGAAATCTATTTCTATTACTGGCCAGTTTACAGGGAGTATGCATTGCTAGGCAATGACAGCACTGTGACAGCCAAGAGAAGAGACTCTGAGTCTGACATAACCCCTAGCTTAAAGAGGTGAAATTATCTGTGGTGAAAAAATTATCTGTGGTCAAACTGTTTTTCTTTCTTTAAAGCTATGGCTTTAAAACAAACCTGAAAAACAGCCACTAAAAAAACCAGAAGTGTCGCTGTAAGACACAAAAGAACACAAGGGCACACCACTGTTCTCAAAGTGAAGAAAAAAAGGAAGTTGAATTTCTGACTCCAACATCTATAGTTTTCCAAGAGTGAGAGTGGATTGGAGGGTGACAGTGCCACCTCTCCAATGACACTGGACAGACCACCAGTCCATCAACTTTCTCCTCCTCCATAAAGGGATGCAGAACAATGAGTTATTTACAGAAAGCGTGTGAGAAAGTTCATTACAAGAATGTCAACATCAGGAGGCTCAGAAAAACTTAAAAAACCAGGGTGACACAGAAGTCAATCAACTGAACTTCTCTTCACAATTACACTCCATGTGTTTCTGCCAGAGGCTCGCCAAGTGTAATCAATGATTTTTCATGTTGCAAGTTGCCATGGGCATTGGGTTTGTATTGACTGCAAGGGTGGCTTCTGTGAGATGCTGCTAGAAACACCCCCATGTCTGGCAGAACCAGAAACACCCCCATGTCTGGCAGAACCAGAAACACCCCCATGGCTGGCAGAACCAGAAACATCCCCATGGCTGGCAGAACCAGAAACACCCCCATGGCTGGCAGAACCAGAAACACCCCCATGGCTGGCAGAACCAGAAACACACCCATGTCTAGGCCTAGAATAACATCCCAGTATTAAAGAAATTCTAGAAAGATCTACAAAGTTAAGTTAAAGTACAGAGTCCTATATCTCACCCGCTTTTGCTTATCAAGAAAAGGAGTAAACCATTTGTCAAGATGAAATAGAAGCAAAATATAACAAAACCAAAGTCTAACACTACTTATTTTTTTTAAGAAACATCTCAAACCTAAGAACAAAAAATATGAAAATTACAGCTAAAGAATGTGAGCACAGCAGTCAGACTTCTTGTAATAGTCATAATTTCATTGCCAAAGTTTATTATAATTATCATCAGCCCTAACTCATCACATTTCATGCACATGACACATTCAGAGCTCTAGGAAAATTCTATCTCTACTATTTAATTAGGTCTATCTATAAAATTACCACGCTGAGCTGTTTTACCTGCCCAAACAGCAGAACAAGCTGATGTTCTTTTAAAGCAGGTTTTGAGAATTACAGGATTTTTGCATGCACTGTCCCTATCAATAATTTAAAGTATAAGTAGAAGCTTTCTGTCATACCTCATGCAAAATTGAACTACACAAATGCAAAACTGCAGCAAAATACTGAATGAGAAACAAAGAATTGACACAGTCCTTGAGCATGAACTCCTTGAGAGCATGTGCACTCAACTGCTCTATCACATGAGGAATTTATCTTTGCATATATAGCATAGCTTTATTCATGATTTTGGTTAATAATGCCCCCACAGGAGATTTCCTCATCTCCTGAAAATGCTAATCAATATCCCATAAATACCTTCATTTCTCCTATTACATAAAATCCCTGTGCTGACCAGGTTCCAAAACACTACTTATGGAAGAATATTTGATTTTTATTCACCTGGCCTAGTTAAAGGTGATAAAAGAACTCCACAATATCTACCTGCAATTGCATATAAAAAAAAAAAAAAAATCAAAACCTGACACTGTTATATGACAGTTCAACAATTGCAAGTTAGGAAGACAAACCAGAGACAGGCTAATGTGGCTTATCTTGTCTTTTCTGGTGATTTAACTCTTCCAGCCTGTGTGGACAGGGCTGCAGTCACCTTCTTTCCAGTCCCTTCATAAAGAGCCATCCTTAAGACACAAAAGCTCAAGATTTCCCATATTCCTCTACTGTTCTACTCGAATTCAAATTACATTTCTGAAACAGGCATTTATCTTAAATCAAGGGGTTCATTAGGGTTAGTCTGTACCTTATTCCACGTCTGTCAGCAAGGCTGGATTGTTTTCCTCAGATCTGCCTACAAAGTAACAGGCTTAGAAGTCAAGAGAGGGCATGAGATGCAGATCAGTCCTTGATTATCTTTTTATGCCAAAAGATGTTTTGGTTGACACCATCTGATTTACAAACTATGCCCATTTACTTTATTATTGTATACTGTTAAACATCATCAGAAAAAAAAAGCCTGGCAAGTACACACACAACATATTGCTACTCCTGTAAGCCCCTCTACACTCCTGGGAAATGAAAAGGAGGGAAAAGCACATCAGTTTAAAAAAATTAAAACAAAGAAACCCCAAACAAACAAAATATCCACATTAAGCTTCCACATCACTCACTTTCCCTTACTTGCCTTTCTTTGGGTTTTTACCCGTGTGGCCAATATTCTGTATTTGGCATATGAACAGCTGAATTACACACTTCAGCGTATGAAGTGCTGGCCTAGAGCTCCTTGGAGACCAGTTTCCAGCACATTTGGCTTCGATGCCAACACAGAGAAATGCACAATACATTCACAAGAGACGGAAGGCTCAGAAAGATGGCTCAGGGGAGCTGTGGTCACTAAAACTGCTGCACACTGAACAGCCCCTCCAACATGAGAGATCCAGGCCTCCAGGTTAATGGAAGCTCTACTACAAACTCCAGGCTCCCAGATTTATGACTGCTGCAGTCACTTCCCAAGAGAAAGCTTGATTTGCCCCTGCTTTACACCAACATATTTCAAAGAAGTTAAACTATAAAACCAGGGTAATAGAACAATGAACCAATCCTACTGTCTTGAAATGTTCATGCTCAGAATACATTCAGTAACCACTGATGCACTTAGCAAAATACAGTAAGAAATACACCTGTTAATCAATAAATACCCAAATATTCTTGTGGTTTGTGTCTATATCTCTACCCTGTCTGCACGCTTTGATTTATTAAGTATTCTTGCGCAATCATCGGGATCACCTGATCTCTCAAGGACACATTTCTAACAAGTGTCTCTGCCATAGTGTAGACAATATGCAGAAAATAGAGAATCTTTAAAATAATCATTGTATTCCTGAAAGGAGATATATTTAAATATTTGCATCCTAATACACACACACACATATCTTGCTCTGCATAGAGGGAGAACTTCTCTCGAAATCAAGCTCTGTTGGACAAGGAGACAGCTCCCTTCCATGTACTCAATATGTAGCAATATGGCTGATTATAAATAAAACAAAGCAAAAAAAAAAAAAAAAGAATAAATAATATACCTTTCATGCTTACCCCTCCAGATTAATCAATATAAATTATTTTTAGCATCTTTGTAATGTGCAAATACACAACGGTATAATGGTATATATCAAATATAGAATGGTAGAACAGTCAAATACCCTCATTCTATCCATGAGTAGACTGAAACACAGATTAACCAAGATCACAAAGACAGTGTCTCTGCCCAAGATCTAAGCCTTTAGACTGGGCATGACTGAAGCTGAACTGCCTCTCATACTGGGTCCCACTCCTTCTGGAACAAACATGACATGGAATTGTCTCTTGCAGTGAAGATGATTTCTTACACACAACTTTTATAAGCAGAAGTTAACACTTTATGTCCACTTTTGTGGAGATGCAGCTCTACATCATACATACAGTATTTGCCATGCCAGATGAATTTTTGAAACTGCTGAAATATTTAGCAGAACATGAAAATAAACTTTGAAAATAAACTACGTGTCTGCTCACATTAGGATACATCAGCCCATATGGACTGATCAGGAGGCAACACTGCCTAAAATTCTGAACCATAAAACAGACTGCAACTCACAGCCACTACAGAGCAGCACACCAAATCATGATATTTTCAAATTCTTCCGTGTCTAAAATACGAGTGGGTTACTAAAATAGGAACATTCCTTCTTCTGTTTGCAGGCT